GAACCGAACCAAACCATTCAGTTCTCAATTCGGATACCCGTTCGAGTATTTCATTTTAAAAAACCCGTTCGATTCGGTTCGGTTCCGGTTCGGTTCGGACATTTTGCCCAGCCCTAGCGGTGCCATTTATTCAATTGCTAGGGACAGACCCAATGAAAAAGGGTATGTGGATGCTGATTTTGTTGAACATGCTTTAAGTGGAGTAGAAGGTGTATAATCTAGCAAAGAGCATTCTGTTAAGCATTTGGTATTGATTCTTCTTTGGAGTGTGTTACAGCCTTTTTTGGTAAATTATAAAATCATTATGATTTTTTGGAATTTGAGGTAATTTTGCAAAGTAGTGTTTGGATTCATTGAAAGAAGTGGAGTATTTTGTGTTTAGTTGGAGAAATTAATTTTTTGGTTAATGTTGAAGAAGTCAGTTCATTCTTTGGTAAAATTCGTGTCAAGGTGGAGATTGTTGGAATTTGGATGTGACCCGAATTCCTTCTTGAAGTAATTGAAGAATTCTAATTGAAGCGCACGTCATAAAGAATTCAAATTTGGAATATTATTAGAGTCCTATGTCATGTTGAAATTTTATTTTGGAAGCTCATTGGAAGTTAGAATTTGTTTTGGACTCAATTTTATGGTATCATAGTTCATCAATAACTCTACTAGGTGGGTTTGGACATCCTCTACTTATTTCCTATAAATATTAGGCTCTTCTATACAATTTTATAATGTGAGAAAATAGATTACTAGAATTATAGGATCAATTGTAATTTTCTCTCTTATTCATTATTTTTGAGTCAATAAAATCTCTTGATTCCTTTGTCATATTCTTGTCTTTTTTACTTTTATGCTTGATCAAATACTTCATTATTATTTGTCAAATAACTTCAATATCTTAATTCGATGGTTTGTTCCGCAACAATTGATATCAGAGCTATTCTGATATCATGATTGTTTTGCAACACAATGTAAAATATATACTTTGATTCAAAATTAAACTCTTATTCATGAAATAAATCATCCAATTTACAATGCTATAAAAAAAATGAAGAAACGTTAATTCCAAGCGGCAACTGCTAAT